AGTGCTATAAGGGCTGTAGTACTGTGGTGCAGAGGGCAAAGGTGAAGGTCAAGAAGGACCATGCTCAGATGAAGCCAGGGGATGGTGAGAAAGCCCCACACGGGGAGAATTCTGATAGAACTTGTGATAGACAAATGTAGAAAGGTCAGATGTGCATTTTGACTCAAATGCGTTTTCACAAAGTGTCCCTATAACCCTGATACTTGTCTTAGGAAAACTGACAGCTTGTCACTAGGCATTGCAATTCTGTCGTTGCATGATTCATTCATATTCAGTAGACATGGCCGAAGTGTTTGCCCATCATCAGCCTGAACCAACAGCAAAATAAAACCAGGCTGGCAGAAGTTTTTTTTTTTCCAAGGAAGAGCTAATCAGAGATCTGAATTGTGGGCCACAGGCTTACTGGGGTCATGAATTTCCAGATTTTCATGGGCTTGTGACATGGCTTGTATATCAGTAGCACAAGGAATCAAAGTTAATAAAGGCATAGTAGTCTGGATGAGGGGTTAAAGATGGGGGCTGGAAGAGCAATTCACTTAGGCTTTCTGTTCCTAGAGAGAGTGGGAAGAGGGAGGACAGAGGAGATAAAAAAGTGAGGTGCTTAGTCAGGTATTTCCTCTCTCTCTCCCCCTCTGTGGCAGGGAAATAGGAAGGCATAGAGGATACTTTGTAAGAATACTGGGGTTTTGTTTTCAGACCCTGGGAGGGGCCAGCACCCACGTGGGATGGCTATGATTAAGGGCAAGGAGGATCTAATTGGCATTCTTGAGGGTCTCTCGTTTCCTGTTAATGATCATGCTGAACCTACAGGCAATAGAGCTGAAGTGGCAGGTACGGGACACTTAAGGTGCCTTACTCTCCCGCCCCACTCGTCACCAACATAGCAAGAGAAGCAGCAGGAGGGGAAGGCTGTTGGAAAGATGGGACAATTTTATTCAGGAGAAACTGGGTATTCCCTAGAGCTGCTGCTTAAATTACTGGATCAAACTAAATTTAAACCAGGTTAGACATTTAGTTAATTTATTTTTCTCTAACCAGCAGGTGGAAGTTTGGAGGAAGACAAGATTACAGACAAAATAAAGGCACTACATTTTCTCTGATAAAAAGTCTCTTAATATTTTCACATCGTGTTGGTTTTTTAGGAAACACAGTAAGCCTTTGTAGGAAATAATCTCAAAATTGACGTGATGGATTTAAGATGGGAAAGCATTTGAAATGCTGAATGACAATAGACTCTGCCTACACACACAGGTTCACAAGGCTACTGAATATAGTTGTTTTTTTTTTAAGTAGTTGAATTTAGCAAGGCAATTATATTATTGCTCAATAAGACAATATTCAGATTGAGTGAATTTCTTTTGCCCCTTATTTTGGGGGTCTATGTTCACAATCTCAATATGAGAGTGAGAATTTGCTCTCAGATACTTTGACTGTCTTATAAAGAGCTAGAGTTAAGGCGTTATTCTACCTGGAAATATTTGAGGCCATGTTTAAGCAAAGGCTGTGATAGCAGTAAGCCCTGTCCAAGTCAGCAAAGATTGACTGTGCCCTTTTTCTGTGGAGGGCATGTGACAGGTACTGAGGGTAAGAAGGGATGCCAAGGGAGGAGGAATTCTGTGAGAAAATAAAGACACAGAGGATAGTTTTGGTTGGGGGTGCCAGGAGGGCTTCATAGAGGAGACAGCCTTTGTGCTGGGTCTTGAAGAAAGACTTCCATAAATGGTGATTTTTCATGGGAAAACATTCGTGCTGAAGAAATGTGGATAAAAGAGCAAAAATGAGGAAGTGCCTAGTGGGTCTATGGTCAGGGTAGATGTCTGCTGTGTCTAAAGAGAGGCTACTGGTGGTCTCTAGTGGAGGAAGAAGAATGGACTTGGATTGGGGTGAGTGAGATGGAATGGGGAGAAGCCAGGAGATAATGTTAGAAAATAAGGCTGGCACCTGGGAGTGAAGGAAATTTGAAAAGGCCAGCTTCGGACTTCCCTGTTGGTCCAGTAGTTAAGACTGCTTTCCCCTGCAGGGGGCACGGTTTTGATTCCTGATCAGGAAGCTAAGATTCCACACACTGTACAATGTGCCCCCCAAAATCAGTAACTAAAATATAAGTTTAAAAAAAAGAAAGCTCTACAAAAAAATAAAAATAAGGCCAGCACAGCCTACCTGCTCTGACATTGTCTAGATCTGGTAGATGTCGTTGTCTCTGGGACTGGGGCAGAATTAAAGACTCAGAGCTTGTGATTCTCTGGCACCTGCCATGTCAAACTAGGATCTTGAGGTCTGCACTGCTCAAGTGATGGTTTTGACGGGCTCCATTGGATTAGACTGACTGCCTCTCTTGGACATTGTCAGTTCTGCTGAGGCAACACCCAAGTCTCCATTCAGACTATGGGGCTGCTGCAGTTTGTTGGCCAGAGGACCAGAAGAAACAAGGGAAGGTGCAGTAAAAAGGAAACGCAGCCAATAACAGTAGCTCCAATTTCCATAGTGGATAACGAACAGAGGTGGCAAAACCTCAAAATAACCCCAAACCTTAATTTACCTCTGAGGCTCAAGCAAAGCAACAAACTCTTGTGGGTTTATTGTAAAATCTCTCTGTAGGCTGGTATTTTCAATTTGTTATTGGAGTGTAACACCTGTGTTGGTTCATTCTTACAAATTCCTGCGGTAATTAGTTTCATAGAATAACACTAGGTTGGCATATTTCCTTGCTCTCATCACTCTTGGGAATATCAAAACTAGAAGACAGGTACTCTTATCATAGAGTTATATTAATAAATTTAATTAACATAAAGCAACTTTAATCCAATGGCTGGCACCTGAGGCTGAAGAGCTTTTCCTTTTCTCCTACTACCAAATTGCCAATCTTGTGATGTCTGCCAGCTAGTGAGGTTTTTTTTTTTTTTTAAAGCGGTGTTTGTTGAGGTATAATTTACGTAGCATGAAATCTCTACTTTTAGGGGTACTGTTCTATGAGTTCTGAGTAATGCAACAGCTCTGTAATTACCACAGTAAAGATGGAGAGTATTTGCACCACCCCCAGATTGCCTGTGCCCCTCACAGCCAGCCTCCTCCCCTCACTCCAGCCTCAGCAACTACTGATCCCTGTAACCACAGTTTTTCCTTTTCCTTCATGTTTTTGGAGAGTAACAGCTTCCACTGAGCACAATCTGCTTTCCAGACTCTTCCATGTTATTGAATGTATCCTTTTGTTCCTTTCTATTGCTGAGTAGTTTTCCATGTTGTATGGATGTTCTTGAATTTGTTTATTCAGTTACCACTTAATGAGCATTTGTGTTGTTTCCCGTATCTGGTGGTTATGAAAAAAGTTGCTCTAAAAATTCACGTACAGGATTTCTTTTTGTCTGGACGTGTGCATCCGTTTCTCTTGATGAAGTTGGGGTGCTGGGTCATATGGATAAGTATTAAACTTTAAAATAAACTTCCAAACTCTTTTTGAAAGTGGTGGTCCTGTTTTGCATTTCTATGTTTGAGAGTTCCAGCTGCTCCATGTTCTCACCAGCACTGTTATCATCAATATTTTTTGTTTTAGTTATTTTTATAGACGTGTAGTAGTAGCACATTGTAGATTTGGGTTTCCTTAGTAAGTAATGATGTTGAGAATATTTTCACGTGCTTATTTTCCATCCATACTTTTTCTTTGGAGAAGTGATTTGCATTGGTGAAGAAATAGGCATATAAATCAGTGGAACGAAAGAGCCCATCCAGAAATAGCCCATAATTATATGGTCAATTGATTTTCTACAAAGGTGCCAAGATAATTCAATGCAGAAAGAATAGGTTTTTCAACAAGTGGTGCTGAGACAATTGGATATCAACATGCAAAGGAATGAACTTAGACTCATACCTAACACCACACACAAAAATTAAGATGGTTCAACGTGAAGCCAAAACTATACAAGAACTATGAAAGAAGAGAACATGGGAGAACATGTTTGTGATTGTGAGTTAAAGGAAGTGTTCTTAGTTAGGTCACAAAAAGCATGGACTCTAAAAGAAAAAAAATTCCTAAGTCAGACTCCACAAACAAAAGCTTCTGTTCTTTAAAAGACACTGTTAAGAAAATAGGAACTCTGCTCAAAAAATAAAAAGGCAAACTATAGACAGGGAAAAAATATTTGCAAAGTGTGTATCCAATAGAAGACATATCTAGAATACATAAATAACTCTCACATCTCAGTGGTGCTGGTCCTTGATGGACAATGCCTCTGTGGCTCCAACAGGAACTTTTGTGGACAGTACAAGTTATCACTTCTTCCTTACACTCACCGGCTTCTCTCTCTTTTTCTGCCTCTCTCTCTTTCTCAGCCCTTCCTCTTCTGACTGATTCTGACAGAAAGAACATTGGTTTGGGCTCTAATTGCTTTCTGTTATTCCATGTAAGGAGCTTTTTCTTCTATAGTGAATTTTTTTAGTACAGCCAAGGAGATATTGGCATGACTTTCAGTACTGGGGACTAGCACATTGGACTCTGGGAGAAGGCAGGACTCTTCAAATGCACCCCAGTTACTTGAGTAGATCCAGAACTGATGGGCTTAGAACAGGGTCTCTGACTCCTTTATTTCAGATTAGTACACTTTTAGGAGTTATCGTGGGTTTCCCAGGTGGTGCTAGTGGTAAAGAACCTGCCAGACAATTCAAGAGATATGAGATTTGGGTTTGATCCCTAGGTTGGGAAGATCTCCTGGAGAAGGGAATGGCTACCCACACTAGTATTCTTGCCTGGAGGATCTCATGGACAGGGGAGCCTGGCGGACTAAAGTACATAAGGGTCGGATATGACTGAAGCAACTTAGCACGCATGCAGGGGTTACTGTCTCACTGACAAGATCGCATCATGTCTCCATGGGGAAGGTGAAGGGAAGAATTGGCAAAGACACATGACCAACAGTTTCAGATGTGTCAGAGGGGTTTCAGGCTGCAGTACTGGGTTCTTTTTGCTAGCACCTCCTGGAGCGGAGTGGGGAGTTGTGCATGCCCACCCTGCCGGTCCCTCGTGGCACAGGTGGGCAGGGAAGCCAAAGGCCTGACGCAGAGCTGGGCCCCAGGAGCTGCTTGGCGGGTCTTTCCTGCTTGTAGTTGGTTTTACATAACCGGCAGAGCTCATGTCTAACGATTTTTTGACCTGGTGTTTTAGTTGCCCAGGATGAGGGCTGCTGCCCCAACATTTTCATGAAGCGAGAATTAGTCTGAAGCCATGATTCTTGCCCCCCCCACCACTCGCAGAGCAGAAGCCAAGAAACGAGCTTTGGAGTTGACTGAACTGTACCATGGGCTGATTAAAGTAGGAGAGCGTTCCTTTCTTTAAAAGCATATACTTCTTCCACATTAGAGGAGCGTGTGAGGGAGGGAAGGCCGTGGTGTGATGTTGGGGCAAAGATGCAGACTCCACAGTTCAGTTCAGTTCAGTCGCTCAGTTGTGTCCGACTCTTTGGGACCCCATGAATCGCAGCACGCCAGGCCTCCCTGTCCATCACCAACTCCTGGAATTTACTCAAACCCATGTCCATCGAGTTGGTGATGCCATCCAGCCATCTCATCCTCTGTCGTCCCCTTCTCCTCCTGCCCCCAATCCCTCCCAGCATCAGGGTCTTTTCCAATGAGTCAACTCTTCGCATGAGGTGGCCAGAGTATTGCAGTTGCAGACTCTACAACAGCTTCTAAATCTCACTTCATTGTCTCAGGAGCTTATCCACAGATAGTGGCTTATCATGGTTACGGATTTTTCCTCCTCAGCAATTAGAAATGTCCCAAAGATACAGCTGCCTTGCCACTGCAGCCCATTGTAGGGGTCTTTTGCTCTGCATTTATTTGCTAATTAACTTTTATACTGAGTTCCAGAAAAAGTTGGGGTGTGTGTGTGTAATGCTTTCATCTGAGACCTTTATTGGTAGAGAATTTTGGGATTAGTCCTTGAACTATAGAACAGAGATTCCAGACTTTCTTAGTTGAGGACTTTATTAAAACCAAAACTTCCCTTCAACCTTTACCTGCTACCACATTTCTGATATCTGTTGATTAAGAAAATACAAAACGGTACCATTACTTCAGTATATTGGTAAGGGATTAAAGATAATAATGCCAGCAACTAAAGCCAGTGGTGTGGAGATGTGAGAAGCAGGACTGCAAACTCTTTTGCCCTAACTCCCAGGGCCCTCAGGTGTGGTGAGCCCACGGACTGTGGAAAATGGATGGGCTGGCGTGTCATTCTTATTATATTTTATTTTTTCCTCTGCCCCATTTATTTCTTTTGGAGCACTTACACTGCTGGCCGAGAGTACAAAATAAAGGTCATGGATCATAACATGTCTCAGCTGGAAGAATCTCAGGCATGCTTTAGCCCTGGCACCTCATTTTATGGATGAGAAAACTGAGTCCCTGAGTGGGGAAGTGTCCTGCCCAATTCCAGGCAGCGATTCTGTGATGGCGTCAGGAGTGATCATGCTTCTTGACTGTCTCTTTCATATTTTTCTTCTCTGGCAGTATAAAGATGAGCTGCTCATCTCCCTGGTCCTCTAATGCATTGGAAGCAGCCACAGTGTGTGTATCAGCCTACTGCATCTATTTAAAAATTATTTAGGTGTTAAAAAGCTTTCCAAACTTCTTAACTTGCCAAACAAGTTAAAAATCAAGCTCAAGTTGTTTCAAATCCTATTTTTAAAAAGCCTATTTATGGGAGAAGGCAGCTGAGTTGCCCAGGGTACTCAAGGATGTCCTCCCTTATTTGGCCGCCTCTTCCCTAGTGTGCTGGTGCCTGGGAGAGTATTGGTCAAGGACAAGCTCTCAGCTGGCGTCTACCTGAAAGCTGGTGTGGTTTTTCAGCTCTTACCTTCTCCACCTGACTGTGCCTCGCAGCCTCCTGGAGCGCAGGTCATCATGCCCAGAGTGGCCTGCAGAGGGCAGCCTTTACTTTCCCACGCTTTACTGGACCACGTCCTGGCCTTTACCTGGGATGGAATGGGCCTGTTTGTCACCTAAGTGCAAATGTCATTTTAGCACTTCGCTGGTCACAACACCCTTTCTGGCCTTTATAGGAAATGACATATTCCTGTGTTCTTTGTCTCCAACACGTGCTGCAGGAGAGCACAGACGGTTATTATGCTTTAAAAGGTTGAAAAGAAAATGCTGAGACCTGTAGGCCAAATACCAGAGGGCAGAGAGAACACACATCAGCTTTCCGTGTCGCCTGGGTCTTACAGAAAGTAGAGGAAAGGACGGGCTTTGTGTCCTGTTGCTGTTAACAAGCTCTCCACTGCTGTTTCTTATCCCTGGGTCAGAGGGCCATGGAAACAAAATTGGCGCACTCCTGGCCGGATTTGCCTTCCCTTCTTCCATCTCGCTCAGCTCTGCCCTGAGTCCAGCCGCCACTTCGCCACCCGTCCCCTGCCCTCCTTTCTGCCGTGGTTGTGTATCAGTCCCCTGAGCTGTTCTTGGCACAGCTGCAACCGTCGAGAGGTTCTGGGGAAGGGGCTCCCAAATGACCAGCAGTGGCGGGTACCAGGAAGGCTTTGGAGGTGTGTGACCACTTAGGAAGGGCAGTTTCATGGCCTAAAATGGCACCGCTTTCTCTCAAGACACAAACTGACTAATGGTTCCGCTCCACACTGGTCTCTGCTTTTAACTATAGTCGCTGTTCTCCGTCAGGCCTCACCCACAATGGCCAGAGGCATGGGGAATTTTCTTCATCAGCAAGAGTGGTATTCACAGCTGGCTTTTTCCCCATCCAGCACCACACGGGGACAATACCATCATCAAACAAACACTCATGTAACACGTCCTAGGTGCCAAGCACGTCCTCCGTGCCACACTGCTTCATTCACTCATCTCCCAACACTCCTTTGATGCAGGGACTATTACAAACCTGTTTTTCAGATCAGGAAATGGTGATGTAAGAGAGGTTCAACACCTCGCTCCAAGGCACAGACCCAGTGCTGGGTAGCGCCAGGCTGAGCGTCCATCCAGGTGGTGTGGCTCTCCTGCCTGCTTCCCAACACCATGCTGCGCTATTTCCAGTGAGCTCACTTCCTCTGAGCAGAGGGGGAAGTTTACTTTTAAGAAAGTATTAAAATGTTGTGCTGTCTCAGTTTCTCCAAGATGATATGTCGTGGAAGGCAAAATGGATTGGCTGCTATAGAGGCCGTGCCTGCGTGCTAAGTTGCTTCAGGGGTGTCTGATTCTTTGTGATCCATGGACTGCAGCCCTCCAGGCTCCTCTGTCCATAGAATTCTCCAGACGAGAATACTGGAGTGGGTAGCCATTTGCTTCACCAGGGGACCTTCCCAACCCAGGAACTGAACCCTGGTCTAATTCCTTCATTTTGTAAAATGTTTATTTATTTTAATTGGGGGATAATTACATATTGTGATGGCTTTTGCTATACACCAGCATGAATCAGACACAGGTATACATGTGACCCCCCATCCTGAACCCCCTCCCACCCTCCTCCCCACCCCATCCCTCTGGGGTGTACATATGGTACATATGTACATATACATGTACATATATGGTATACATGTATGGTATACATGTACATATATACATATACATGTGACTCCCCCATCCTGAACCCCTTCCCACCCGCCTCCCCACCCCATTCCTCTGGGGTGTACATATGGTACACATGTACATATACATGTACATATATGGTATACATGTATGGTACACATGTACATATACATGTACACATATGGTACATATGTACCTATACATGTGACCCCCCCATCCTGAAGCCCCTCCCCCCCCTCCCCACTCCATCCCTCTGGGTTGTCCCAGAGCACTGGCTTTGGGTGCCCTGCTGCGTGCATAGAACTTGCACTGGCCATCTCTTGTACATATGGTAATATACATGTCTGAAAGCTATTCTCTCCAATCATCCCACCCTCACCTTCTGCAGAGGCCAGAAGTCTGTTCTTTACATCTGTGTCTCCTTTGCTGCCCTGCATGTAGGATCGTCGGTACCGTCTTCCTAAATTCCACATATATGTGTTAATATACAGTATTGGTCTTTCTCTTTCTTTCTTCACTCTGTAAAGGCTGCAGGTTCATCTGCATTGGCAGGCAGGTTCTTTACCATTAGCGCCACCTGGGAAGCCATAACGCTGGTGGGAAGCACCAGCATTGTCAGAGGCCTCTTCCAGCAGGGTTGGCCCGACTTGACTTTCTAGGATACTGTCAGTGTGTGTTGTAGGTCACAGCGCAGATTGTGTCATTGATTCATAATCAGAAGGAAAAGTCCCATCCTCAGCTGTCCCTGGGGGCCATGCAAGGGCTTCTAAGAGCCAAGCCCTTACCTGTAGGTTAATTAAGTGAAGAGACTGTGTCTATTGCATGCCAGCACTAAGCTCAGTTGGTGATATGGAGACTCATAAGACATGATCTTGCCATCTAATAGTTCCCTCTGGTCTGATAAGCAGACTGATAAGTCAGCAGTGCCAGAAAGCCTGTCTCTGCACCCCCGGGCGGCACTTCAGGAGGTGGATGCAAAGCCCTTCTGCAGGGTTCTTGTAAATGGGATGTGGCCCAGAATCTTAGTCACCAGGACTGTAAGTTCTGTGGATGAACTGGATGAACTACTGCCCCCATCAAGGACGCTACCCTGGGACACAGCAAACTATACCTCCCTGTAAACCCCTGACAGAGAAGGACAGTGGCTGATGACCCACCGATGGAGTGAACAGGTGAAGCTTTAATTTTAAAAGCATAATCCACTGCTCATTTATCAGCACCACCTGGAAAGTATTTATCTCCATGGAACATCTCTGATCCACTCAGGTTTCCAAGTCAGTATTGTAAGTAGGGGTCGGTTTCCTGGCCTGCAACCTGGACATTTTGAGGCACGTGCACCTCATTGTCCTACTGTAGCTCACATGTGCTACTAAGAAGAAAGAGAAGAAAGAAGGCGATGTTGCTAGATTTGAACCTGGAGGTGGAAGTGAGGAAGAGGGGAGAGGAGGAGCCCCCAAAGGAGAAAAGGCCAGAAGGAAGGGCAGGCAGAGCCAGCTGGGACAGCGGTGGGCAGCTCTGGTGGCTGACTCTGTGGCTGACTCTGCTCTGATGCCTCGTGTTCTGCCATTCACAGCGAGCATGGGAGGGAGGGACACCCGTTAATCCCCGCTTCACGTACGCTTCCCTGGTGGCTCAGAGGGTAAAGAATCTGCCTGCAATGCAG